AAGGTAGCGCGCCTGGATCTCCTGAGCCTCATTGTCCTCCTGGCAGCCAAACGTTAAAGTGACTACGACATGAAAAGGCGCACTGTCAGGCCTTGCTCTCCTGCTTACCGTCGCTTGCCGCAGCAGCCCGTCCTCAGCCCACGGACGCAACGCGATGCGCAAGGCAGGCAGCTTGGGCGCCCGCTTGCAAAAGCTCTAGAGGGGGAAGGTCCCGCAACGCAATTCCCAACCCCTGGCAATCTTGCCCAACAAAGCGCGCCTCGAGCTCATGCTCCATAGCGCCCACCTTGCAGCACAACATCAGCAACAGCTGTCTATCCCTTACTACTTTCGGCCGAGACAGCGTGCCTCGATCTTCTGTTCCTCAGCGGCCACCTAGCGACAGACACAACACCATGCGCAAGCAGGAAGCCTGGGCACGCCTGCAAAAACTCCCCATGAGCAGGAAGGTCTGGTAACAGGTTTACAACCCCTGGCAGATTACTACCCCCGCCTGCGCCAAGTCGGGAGCGGAATCGTCCTCAGAGCCAGCTCGCTTTCCCGCAATCGCAATCCAAGTCAATCATCGGCTGCGCCTCGTTGGGCTCGTCAGCCCAAGCAGCACGTTTCGGCATGACTCCCATGGCCTAAGCATCCACACAAGAAAGAGCACAAACGTTGAGTCTCAAGGCTGCGTCGCGGGCCAGAAAATGATAGCTGTCTCCAGTACGCAAAAGCTAGAGCAAAGCTGAAAGTCTGCGGTAATTCATCGGTGCGGCTGCAAAGCAAATCTCTTGCTGGTCCTGCCCCCTGGTCGCCATTGATCAAACGCCACACTCCCGGCAATTACTTGAATATTTTCAAGGCTTAGCGCACTCGTCCATGTAGTCGCCATGTGACTTCACACTGGAGGCTTCCCTAGCGCCAGAGCAAAAAACCTTCTGCAGACAAACGCGGCAGATTATCGCAGAACATCGCGGCTAAGCAGGTGGATGCGCTTGGCCTGTCACGAGCTGCAGCGCTGCGAAGCCGTGACGGGCAGGCAGCGGGGCTTTGGCTGCCAAAACATGGAAATGAAAAGCTCCACCGCCCTCGCTACCACTGACTCGCGCTGGGCTGCTGACACCACAGAGCACCACGGAGGTCATAAGCTTTTACCCGCTGCGAGCAACGCAGGCCGTGATGAGCAGATCGCTAGACACGATCTGGCAAAAGCTCGGGATGACAAAAGCCATCTTCTTGAGCCTAGCGCCAGCTCCACGGCCATCTTGGTGCCACCGCCCTCGTAGTGCTCCGCTACCACTGACTCGCGCTGGGCTGCTGACACCAGAGAGCGCCACGGAGGTCATAAGCTTCTACCCGCCGCGATCAACGCAAGCCGTGATGAGCAAACTGCTAGACACGATCTGGAAAAAGCCCGGGATGACAAAAGCTATCTTCTTGAGCCTGGCGCAAACTCCGCAGCCATCTGGTGCTCCGGGAAAGGAAAAGCTCCACCGCCCTCCGAGTGTTCCGCTACCACTGACTCGCGCTGGGCTGCCGACACCGGGGAGCGCCACGGAGGTCATAAGCTTTTACCCGCGGCGACCAACGCTAGCCGTGACAGGAGCAAATGGCTAGATGCAAGGGCCATCTTCTTCAGCCTGAAAGGCCAAGCTCCACCGCCCTCCCGGTGCCCCACTACTAGTGACTCGCGCTGCAACTGTCGCCTTTCCGTGATAAGAAGCGCAACGTGAAGTGCTTTTTGGCGACAAGCTCACGTGAAGCGTTTTTTTGCGACAAGCGCAATGATTTCAAAAGCCCAGTCACGGTTTTTGTGACAGGCACAGCGCTTTTGCAAACTCGGGCGCTGGTTCTGCGAACGAAGCATAATCGTAACTTCAAGCGTGGATCTCGTGACACGCTCCAGGCTTTCGCAAACGCAGGCACCGATTTCACGACAGGCGCGGAACTTGCGCAAATTCAGATTCGAGGATTCGCTCATCCCATACCAGCTTGAGGGTTGGTTTACGTTTTTTGGGGGGGTGGATTAGGGGTTTCGGAGTAGTTAAGGCTTGGGGCTGGGCAGATTGGCTTAGGGTTGGCTCAGGGGCTTCAAGGTTGGTTTGGGGTCGGCTTCAGGATGGTTTAGGACGGGCTTGGAATGCGTCGAGATTTGTTTGTTGCAACGGCTTATGAAAAGAAAGGGGTCTAAATTCTACGCCCTGCATTCCTCACGTACCGGCTTATGAGAAGGAAGGGTTCTAAATTCTATGCCCTGCTGTCCTCACAAAACAGCTTCTAAGAAGAAGGGGTCTAAATTCCGAGAAGCGTATTCTTCGGCAAAAAGCTAGCAGAGCGGTTGGGGGGGGGGGGGGCAGTCCCCCCCATAACGCTGCGAGCAGGTCCCCCCATGATGTGTTGGAAAGGGCGGGATTCAGCGAAGCGTGTTCTTCGCCAAAAGCTGGCGGGGGGTTGGGTGGGCGGCAGCCCCCCCCATGATGTTTGTAAGAAGGATGGTTGAGGTTGGGTAACTTACTAACTAACGAACTACTTAACTAACTACTTACCTAAGTAACTGACTAATTGGCTAACTGACTAAGTTCCTACAGCAATGGGCCAGGATTAACTTGCTAACTTGCAAACTGTCCAACTGGGCACGGGGCGACAGGGCGCACGCTTACTAACTTATTAATTTGCTAACTGGGCACAGGGTGTACACTTACTAACTTACTAACTTGCTAACTGGGCGCAGGGTGTACACTTGCTGACTTACTAACTTGCTAACTGGGCGCAGGGTGTACACTTGCTGACTTACTAACTTGCTAACTGGGCACAGGGTGTACACTTGCTAACTTACTAACTTGCTAACTGGGCACAGAGTGTTCACTTGCTAACTTACCAACTTGCTAATTGGACACAGGGTGTACACTTGCTAACTTACCAACTTGCTAACTGGGCACGGGGTGCGCTTGCTAACTTGCTGGCTTGCTAGCAGAATTAATTGTTTTTTGATGACGAAGTAAATTTTTTTTGATGATAGAAAAGTTTTTTTCAATGCGCATGCCCGTAGCGGTTCGAGGTCGCTGGGATCTCGCCCTAACGGGCTAGCGATCGACGGACGATCCTCGATTCCGAGTGCATTGGCAAGCCTACCGTCTCTCGCACCTGTTTCAACTACTTCGGCAGCCCGCTCTCGGCGAACCAGTAACCCGGTTCGCGTTCTCGTCCCTCTGATGCAGCGGACCTCCAAATGTAATGTTGGGAAAAGGGGGAACATTCGGGGTATGGTCAAACGCCGGAGGACCTATCGGCCCACTCCGGTCATGAATGGCCTCCAAACCCTGAAGAACTTCCCGGCTATCCCTGGCCCTCTCTCTCTCGCTCCGGGTGTCCCTGTCAACACGAAGGTCCCTCACAGCTCCACGACTCCTGGGCCTTGCAGCAGCACGGCTCCTTGCACTTCGGCGTGCCTTCCTCATCACGACGATCCGCAAATGCGGCATGATCGTCATCATCATCGAACTCAAACTTGGCAGCAGCAGGATTAGGCCTATCGGCATCAGACTCCTGCTTCACACTACTGCCCCAGCCTGCGGTTGATGTTAGCAGAGCATCGTACCCGATGCCTGTGAACTTCCTCTCCTCAAACTGACCTGGATTTTGAGAACCGGTGGATCGATCCGAGATATCTCTCGGAGCCAGAACCATGGTTCCTGGTCTCGCGGCCTGTCCCCGAGCTCATCCGAGACCTGCGATTCACCTGGAACAAGAGATCTTGGGGGTCGGGTTGGCATGGCCTCCGGGTCGTCCGAATGAGGGCGGGCCATGTTCATCGCCATGCTGATGAGTCCAAATGTCCATGCCTGAGACCTGACTCAGAGCTGCCCCTATCGGGGCGAGCTCTTTGTGCTTGCTCATCATCAGTGGCCTGACGGAAAATGCGATCGTCTCCATCGTCAGTGAACCTGCCACGGCTTCTGGGTGTGTCCCTATCGGGATCTTCACCCCTGCGGTCCTGACCTGCTGAACCTACCTCAAATTCCTCAAAGTCATAGTCCGGCAAGTCCTCACCTGAGCGGAGACCCCCTAGGATGGCCTCCTCATCCACGACACTCCTGTGTGATCGTGGGGTCGACATAGAGCTTGTAGTTGATGGTCTCAAGCGCGTAGGAAAGTCCTACGGCTGATAACCTGTGATTCGGGCACGAGCCTGTGCCCAGGCAATGGGTAAGTTGGGGTAAACAAGCCACAAAAGAAAGGTTCCCCAAAAGCAAACCAATCCCCGGTCCCAAAGATCAGGGTTTCCCACACACCAGAGAACAACAACCAAAAGGAAACAAACCAAAAGAGAAAAGGGTTAACCCGCAACCTTGATCGACAACAGGCCGCACGACTGGTCCCTACCAACCTGGCGGCGGCCCGAGGTCTCTTTCTCCCCCGAGATGCCGTCGGTCGACGCAGGGGTTCGGCGACGCCCATTCGAGGCGCGACGGAACCCGTAAACTTGAGCCAAACACCACAGGTCGGTCACTACCGCGACGTCCCTGATGATGATATGAACCATGGCTAATCACAATATATTATGACTATGTATATATATATATATATTATACACACATCAGACATGTGACATGTCGTATGCGATGCAAACCCGCAATAGGTACAGGTACAAAGGCCACCTGAGCTGAGCTTACTGGACCCCCCAATGGGCGAGGTCGACCAAAATCCGTTGGGTTTGGTCGCCGTTGGCTTTCCCAGCTTCTACTCACGGGAAATCCCAATGGCACCTGGACACCGCACGCTTCAAGGAAAAACACAAGCGCTGAAAACAACCTGAGCTTGGCCTGGTTATGCAATGAGTTCTGGTTCGCTTCACTTCTTGTCAGAAGATGTGAAGCATGTGTCAAGATACCTCTGTGGGAAAAACAAACGATACATTGCCAATGGCTTTGTTTGGACTCCTCAAATGGGTGGTATTCCTTCACTTTCCCTTTGCAACCCACAACTGGGCCGCACCAGTTTCCCCTTTCCGATCCTGCCTGCAGCTATGCGCGAAAAAACGGCCCAGCACTAGCAGGGTTCAAAATGTCAGGCCGTGCGGTGGGATCATTCAACCCGCTTCTGGGTATGCGGGTCCGCCATAAAGTGTCCTCCCTGGGTTACCTTGGATCACATGCTGCAGCCCAAAAGAATGTCATGGGTGGTCATCGGCTTGAGTTGCATTCGGGGCGGACAAGCCCCGATGGCGCATCCGGCCATGGGACACGAAATCGGCAAGCAACACGTAAGTCTGAACTATGTCCAGGCCAAACCGGGATGTGTCACTTTCTGCTCCGGGAACCCGCCGACCCTCCCGAAACCACTGAGCCACATCGGCGGCCGCTCGCACCGGTTGGCGGATTCCGTTGGCCTGAAACTTCCACCCCTTCCAAACTTCTGTTCTAGATAGCCAGCTTCTCCTTTTTGCCTCTGCTCCCTTTTTCGACTGAGGGCTGCAAAAACCACTGCTTGTTGACAACATAGCAGCTAGGGAGAAAAAAACTGCAGTCCCCAAACCAGATGATTTTGTGGATTTGGGACACCGCCTGGCTTTCGGAGGTTTGAGTCACCCTCCATATAGTCTACCAAAACAAATGGGGCGAGAGCCCAGCACGGACGGCGAGTCAATGAGCTGGCTTCCACTCCACATTTCCTGGGAAACAAGGGAGCAGCTTTCCTCCATGAAAGCAACATGAACAGTGTTTATGCACTTTTCCAACATACACACTGCTTCCAACATGAACACTCCAACAAGGGAGTCCTTTTCCATGTCACTGCTACATCCCCTAGGCCACAACAGGCTGATGGTTCCCCTCGCGGAGAGTGGCCGGGAATACCTAGCTCTTCAAATGCTGGACATCAACTCATGAAGTCTTCTGTGAGACCTGCAAGTCATGCTTTTCTGTTCTGTGACATCAGATGGCGCATGTCTACATTTCAGCAAGTGCAAACGGTGAAGTGTTCAAGCTCTCCGTAAGGCGACTGGCCTTTAAAACCAACCCCAGACAGCTGACGCTGTCTAAAAGGCAACTCAACGATTTTTAATTGATTGCGGAACCAAGCCAACTGCATGGTTGAGAAGACAGAACCATATGGCCGTGGGACCCCCAGTGAACATCCCAATCCCCACTAAAATAGGTCCTCAAGTGGGTGGTGAATTCACCTACCCCGAAATGGGATCCCATTGCTTGTGACAACCACAGCCATATCAATACCACTCCCCTTTTTTTTGGTTTCGTGAACACGAATACATTTCCCCAAGAAGCCATAGGCTGAACTTCGCCGGGTTGGCAATCGCTTTCAGCCCTAAACCTTTGCTTGGGCGCCTATGGGATTTGGGTCATAGGTTCTGGGTGAAGTGTTTGCAAGGAGGGGTTCTTGGGAGCTAAATGCTTGGGTTTCCCGGTTTTCCTCTGGTACCCTCAACTCGGCTCTTGATAGGCTGGAGGGAGGCGTTCCTTGGCACTTTCCATGCTACCAGCAGGGTCAAGCCCCATGCACGCGGTCTTCATCTTAGGCAAAGAGCGAACATAGATAAACCAACCGTTGCCACCACGGTTTTTGAAACATGGGATTCGGGTCAGTTAAATGTTGCCAAACATTGTGGGTGGTGTCTCCTGGCAAAGTGCCTAGAACTCTATGTGGGTGGCTTGGATTTTTGAGGTTGGACACCTCAATGGTGCGCTTCATTTCTGGTCTCCCTTCTACACCCCGAAAAAATGGGTACCCCAAAAGACAGACCCATGTGATAACATGTCATAAGCCGCTAATGAGACCTGCAAGAGTTGTAAGCGGGCCGTACCATTTTCCCAAAAGGGACCGCACAGGAGGGTTTGGAACACAACTGTCTTGCAAAGCTGTCCACTGCCCATGGTGACCTTCTAGGTCCTCCAGTAGAGCTTAGAATAAGGGTACCGTTTCTTTTTTCTGTAGTCTGTTTTAGTAGGGGAACCCCCCCAGCCAAAAAAGGTGAGAAAGGGCACTACTGGGGGCCGGTGCGAGGAATCGCAACCGAAAAAAGCAACGGGAAACTAAACACCCAACAGAAAGTGTAGGCAAACATTTCCCCCTTCTTCCCACTGGCATAGCATCTGTGGGGTTCCTTAACCAATTTGGCAGTACTCCATTGGTGCCGTGGGAGGGTATTCAAGCCTAAGAGGGTAGCCTTGACAACCTAAGACACACATCGGGAATCACCTCAGAGACCTGAAGCCAAGTTCCTCTGCCCGGATGTCGAGAATCTTCCGGATCTCCCGCTGGGTGTATCTGCGGTCGACTCGCGCACTGTTCGAACCCTGAAGACAGAACCGCTCCATGCTTGAAGGCCAAGGGGCATCGGGGCCAACATGTTCAGTCACGCGGGACATACAAAACACTAAATCTCCAATTTCCTTTTGGGGGAAATTGTTTTGGCTGTAGTGCCCATTTTGTCTAAGTTCTCCCGAAAGCTAAGGGTCCTTCCGCGCCAGCACACCAGCGCACCTGCACGAGAAAACTTGCACAGGCACTTGCACGAGCAAAGTGGCAGGAACATACTCGCAGGAACACACTTGCGCGAGCACACTTGCACGAGCACAAACTCGCTGCGCAAGAAAACTTGCGCGAGAGATTGAAGTTATTGCTTACGTCGGAGCAGTGGGACCAAACCCACTCTGCAAACAAATGACACCCTCTGCGGGAATCGACGTGGTCCATGTGCAACAACTGTGGTTTTGTTCTGCTGGGATCGGCTGGGTTGATGTTTTCTGTGGACCTTTGCTACTTTTTGAGGTGCCCGCACTGCGGGGATCGGCGTGGTCAATGTGCAGAAACTGCGGACTCTTGCTACTTTTTTGCGCTCGCGAATGAGTCTTCAGAAGTTGTGGCGCGGTGACGCTGTATGCGCAAACACTGAAGCATTACGGTTGAAGCCCTAAATATTGCAAGTGCGGAGCAGAAAAACAAAGGGCACGGTCCACTCCGGGAAGCACTGCTGTGACATGATATCTGTGGCCCCCCTTCCCCTGACACAATGTTGAACTTGCAATATATTGGGCCTCGGAAGACTGGTTACGGGCTTGGCTTCAACATTGTAACTGGGGGAGACACAAGTTTCGCATGTCTGTGCGAAGGCAGGCGTCTCCAAACCCTTGCAGGTTGTGCACGTGTGTGGGCTGAGCAAGGCAAGTCTCTCCAAAGTCTTCGCACGCAGACAAAGAGACGGTGCGGAGCGACGGGCGCGGACGCAAAAACGATGGACAGTCTACGCGAGACGGTTGACGCCCTAAATATTGCAAGTGCGGAGCAGAAAAACAAAGGGCACGGTCCACTCCGGGAAGCACTGTGACATGATATCTGTGGCCCCCCTTCCCCTGATACAATGTTGAACTTGCAATATATTGGGCCTCGGAAGACGGGTTACGGGCTTGGCTTCAACATTGTAACTGGGGGAGAGAGGTCCGCACGCAGCGGGCGATGCCACAGAAATGGTGTCCACATGTGCGTTGGTGGCGCTTGCAATATTTAGGGCTTCCACTGTATCGGAGAAGGACGTATATAAATATGTGCACACTTGCGCAAAACAAACTGCGCAGCGTAACTTGCGCAGAGGAAGTTGCAGAGAGCACTTGCACAGGGAGCACTTGCGCAGAGCAACTGGCACAGAGAGCACTTGTGCAGCACACTTGCGCAAAGAAGTTTTGCAGAGCAACCGGCACGGAGTGCTTGAACAAAGCAACCTCAACAGAGCAACTTTCGTAGAACACTTGCGCAAAGCTTCTTTTCGAAGATAGGTCGCTTGGTGAAAGTTCTTCTGTTTGGGCTTCGAGCGAGCACTTGCGCAAAGCAACTTGACAATCGCTTGCACAAAGCAACTTTCAAAAAACAACTCCCGCAGAGCAACTTGCCGGGAGCAACTTGCACAGAGCAGCTTGCATGGAGCACTTGCGCACATCAAGTTGCATACAGCAACTTTCAATCAACACTTGCAAAGAGCACTTGCGAGAAAACCACCTGCACACTTGTGCGAGCAAATTCGCAGGAGCACACTTGCGCAAGAAGACTTGTGTGACTGGGCTGCCCTCAAATGCCCCCCTAAAAGTTTAACTTTTAGTGAGTTAAATGGAAACTACCACTAAGCACTAAAAGGCTAAACAGGTAAAGGGATGGCTGGGAGCCACCAAGGTGAGAGATTAAGCTTAAAATGTGCACCACAGTGCTGTTGATGGACTCCATATCGCGCGCCGAAAGCAAAGACCGCATGTGGCAACCTACACCACGCTCGCAAAACGCTGTGCTTTCGGTACACCCGATCTTCTAGTTTTTGAGGGAGACCCTTTTGGTTCGGCTCAGGGTCCCCCCCCCCCAATGGCCCAAGAATAAACACACGACAACAAACAACTTGAGACAAACTCATGTGGTGGCACGGAACCCCCCGAAAGAAAACACATAGATTTGGAGGGATGCATGGCTTCGCCTGTGAACAGGCTTGACTGCATTCCGCTTCTCTTGTGGCTACTTTCTTCGCCGAGCGCAAAAGGGCCACCTTTGACCATACCAGGAACATGTGAACTCCGACCTACGAGAAACCCGAAACCCGGATATGTTCACACAACACACAGGTACCCAGAATGGAACCCTGGCAAATGGAACCACGGACTAAAAAACCTGCGGTCTCCTGCTGGTTTGATTTTGACCCACACCCACACTGCTCTATCGAGGCCGCAATCCCCTACCTTGGAACTCTGAGCCCCGCACGGCTGGGTGGAGATGATCAGCATACGGTCCAGCAAATCCAGCGGGATACCTTGCGCGCGGGCATCCATGTGTATCGCGGATTCGTCTTCTTGGCGTTCGTGCTGGTGGTGTTGGTAGTGTCCGCCGACATTGCTCGGCGTGTCGGATACTTACTAGAGGATAGAGGATAACCCCCCCCCTAACCCCCCCCGCCCGACGTCTATTACGTAGGTTTTTGTGGGGGGGGGGAGGGGGGGTCCCCCACGTACCGCGCGGCAATTTGATGACGTTCCACTAAACGTAGTCTTCGGGGAGCCGGTGTCGCAAAACAGGGGTCCCAGGCTCGATTCCCCCTGCCGGCTTTTTTGCTGGCTTGGGCTTCCTGCATCCTTTTGCCGA